TATAGCAGATCCAAACGAAGGCGGGATGCCATGCTAATTAGAGATTTATTACTGTACAAATGGACAAATGCATAAAAACGCATTAACCCATTTGTAACGAATGTTTCAACTGTTCTTGATTATCACGCACAAATCGGAACTTTGTTATATCGGCAATTCCCGTGTAGAACGCAACCCGCACTGTCCGCAGCCAACGTTATGGACTTCGTTACAAGCTGAGAGGAGACCTGGAGATGACCTACTTTCCACAAATACACTCATTGGCATATCGAGTTGGCTTTGATGGGAGACCCACTTGGAACTCAGCCGAATTCCTCGTTTATGATGTTTTTAAGCAACTGCATTGCTGCACCAGGCCGCTTCATGTTTCAGTTGGTACGATATCGAGATTTTACGATACATGCATGGACACAATACACTACTCATGAGGTTGCTGAAAACTCTTGGACAAGCAACAACCGGGTTCGCCCATCTTGGGGCTCATCATACAAGCGCACACCGCGAGTTTTCGTCAACCTTATGTTCTGCTTGAAACCAAATTGCACGAAATTGGCAAAATACACTCAAATTCATGAACGAGAGATTTTACTGTGTTCGAAGTGAGTCTCTCGCAAAACCAAATTTGTTTGCAAATGAGTGCAGTTCTCTAATTTCGCGCAATTAAGGTTCAAGTAGAGAATAAGGTTGACGAAAATTCGGAAACTGCGCCTACCTGATGAGCCCCGAGAAGGGCGAAACCAATCGTGGGCTGTCGACGAATTTTCAGCAACATTGTGAGTAGTTCATTAGCTGTGTACATGTTTCGCGATATCTTGAATATTGTACCGCCTAAAACATGAGACGGCCTGGTGCAGTACATTCAGTTGTCTGGATCACAAACGAGAAATTCCGCTTGGTTTCAGGTGAGTCTCGCAACATCAAATTTGTTTGCAAATGAGTGTGTTTCGCTTATTCTTCGACTGTTTGTCAACTCAGTTTGGACAGGAGTTCCACCATCTCTGACAGATTTCACGTGCTAGCTTCAGTAATCGCCCTCGGAAGCCAGGCCTAAGTGTTCACTAGATGAGGGGTTCCGGATCTACGTTCGACAGATAATTAAAAGACGTTTAAAGATGCGCCTTCCATGCAGTAATCATTTTTTCGAGTGTACTTCGCTTTTGGCCAGTCCGGATGTGGAGGTTTTATACAAGGCACTCCGTTTACATAAATGTGCTCTCAATATACATTGCTCTTAAGTAATACATGGCATCGTTCAGCGCCCGCCTGCAGTCCACAACTTTCTCGCCCTGCATTCGACAGAAGATTTACCTGTCCTCAATCAATTCGATCAATAAATTTATCTTGTGTCTGTTTTAACCCAAAGTTTGAACCACTTTGTTGTACAACTTTATTCATTCATAGTTTCTGTGATTTAGCTTCCAAGCGTTGGAACTCAGAGGTTTCACCTACCGGGGGCGAAATGGACCAAATGGTTAAAGCGCGAATTTACTGACCGGAAGGTCCGTGGTTTAAACCCAAACCGGGTACCTTCATTGCTCCTGTCTGGGTTTGGGCAACCTGGCAGTATCCCAGCCCTCGGGCTTCCCTCGGTTGGCGTGGCCGTTAGACACCGAAAGAATGTTACAGCTGAACGATTTCACCTACCATGTGGACCTTCATTCAGGTAAAGTTTACACTGAGCTATCGACGAAATTAAATCGATATCTCCATATTACTACTAAACTAAAGGGTTACTTTGAAAAACAGTGTTGGGTACCGAGTGTCTTAAACAAGAAGGTCTATTTGAACCCAGCCTCAGCTTCAGCTTGGTATAGGAATGAAAATTTTACTCGAGTCCAGTGCTTGACCGCGGATCAATTACTTCAGGACATAAGGACAACCTTCCCAATGACAGTGATGTGAATTTGAATGATACCGGTTTAACGGGGGATACTACTGAGGAGACGTGTGAGTAGTATGTTTTCTCGTAAATCAACTCCGCGTCTCTTGAAAAGGGAAATCTATTACGGAATTTATGGAGCCGCTTTGTAGCATTTGCTTGCATTTGAGTAACAGTCAATGAATATCCAGGAAAGTTCAGGAAGACGCGTTCAAGGAGAAGATGGATATTCAGTTTTGTAAACAAGATGCACATGAGAGTTTTGCTTCCCTGTCCAATAGTCTGTAACTGTTCTCTTGGCGTTTTCTAATAAATAACTCCGCAGCGAAGGCCTTCTTTTTTCACCGGTATCAGTGAAAACGCTTACAAACTTTTTCGTATTCATTCATATAGTTTACTTGATTTCAGTCAGTATGAACTGAAACAATTTAAAGCGTAAGATATTGAAGAATTTTCATGAAATTCGCATTTGGCTATTTGTTCTCAAGTCTTTCAGTTCATGTTACAATGGAACTGGACAATCGGAGAAAACTGTGTTGTAGAAACAGCTCGTTAATCTTCAGCACTAGTGTGACTACAATACTCCCCCACACCCCGTCGCCAGATGTTGCCCCAACCTCTCACTCGTGAATACTACCCTGGTGTGTGTGTTTGTGTGAGGGAGGGTGTTGGGCGTCCTCGTGCGTGTGAGAAATCAGCTGTTTTGCTGATGGTTACATAATACCATTTTCTCATTTCGGTTAGGTTTAGTCTGGCTCACAACTACACATGTGATTTATTCGTCTGAGTTTATTAAACTAGAAGACGTTTCTCGATTTCCCATCGAGAGCTTTTCACTGAAAGGATGTGCGATTCAGGGGATTGCGAGTTTTTACTCTAGTAAAATTTGCTTATGAGCTTTATATCTATTGAGAGCTTGCTTGTGTCCTGTGCAATTTTGCGACTACAGCGGACCATATGTTGACTTCCCTGGCTGTCCCAAAGTTTTAGCTACGGGATAAATATCTGCTGGTTGTATCAGATGAGTAGCTCAGGCCACAGTTCAAGCCACATGTAAAACTGTTCCAAAGAATGTTCTTAGCCCTTTTTCTGTCCAAGTCAAGACTGATTTTGCTGAACGAGTGTGAAGCGTAGATTTTTAACAGGCATCGCTGATCGATGACTCAGTAAGAAGCAGCGCCATGTCTTGTGAGAGCTAATTACACCGCCAATCCAACTACTCGTGATCGAGCGTGGATTCGAAAGTCTCCTTCGGATAGTTCCCAACAAGGATGAAACAACTGTACGGTGCTTCTTTGCCTTTAAACATAGACTGGCCCCACTGGCAGGGTAAACTTTCTACTGCAGATCCTTGGTCCCACCTATTCCTCTACAATCCAGAGTAAAATGATGAAAAAAGCAAGCTATTAGGTGTAACACACTACTCATTAGGGTTACTCAAAACTAACCACAGCCGGTTTTGCCTTTCCTACTCGTATTAATCAGTTTCCGCCAAATTTATGCTCTGCTTGAAGCGGATCATCATAAAAGAGAGATTCAGCTGGGTTTGGTGGAGTCTTTTGTCAAAAACAAACCAGTGTGAGAATCTGCTCTGAGTAGTCGATTCTTCGACCTCAACAGACCCTATAACACGGACTAGGCCTGGTGAGCATACGATGAGGAGCAAGAAACCACCAAAGAGCGCGGAAGAATATCAAGCGCTAGCCAAAGCCTGAGCGATGGCGGTATATGAATTAGACACAGGATATAGAGTAGATCTGGAAAAGTGGACTAGGATTCACACCACAGCGGTTGATAGTCGAGGCGTTGGAACTTACCAAGCATCATAGTGTGGATAGAATTGAAGGTGTTGAACTGGCGCCCTTATGTAGGGTGGTCATAAATAAGCCGAGCTGCCTTTTATCTTTGAAGAGCATGGTCATAGACATAAAAAGTGAATGCAAGCGATAAATGTGAAAGGGTTACAGGAGGATATGAGATAAAAGAGAGAGAGAAACGTCTCATTCGAAGTCATACCACCAACAGCTCCAGTCGGATAAGATGAATCCCAACGTATGTAAGAATTTTTAGCATGGAAACACGCGTGTAAAGACAAACTACCAGAGAAAAAACAAACAATGCTGAATGCTCTGTAAGGCGCGGTAAGCGCTAACACAGTCAAGACTCGTACATCAGGCACAAAGTGTCCATTATACTGGGCCTGGTGTGAGATTCAGTGGCAAGAATGTACATTCAACGCCATGTACCACGCATAAAAGTGTCGTTAGTACGCAGAGAGCCTATTGTGTCAAGCAAACACAAGTTACTGACTGTGACCTAAGGAAGTCTGAATCCAATAACCGCCCTGGCGGATTGAGGAAAGCAGATCCGTCGATAAGAGGTGATAATCGGTTGGTGGACCAAAAAGTCGATATCACAACCGATTGCCTGAGATTATGGCGAGGTAACATTCATCAGCTGCACACCTCTGCTTCTTTCCACTCCACACAGCCACTCCGCGCCCATCCAAGACTATGCTGACGACTAATACAGTTGCTCGACGATCTCGAACAGCAATTGGGTCAAGTTTGATGAAGGACCTCAAAGTAGGTGCCTTCAACTCCTCGAAGACGGTGTATCCCAGGCAGCGGAGACGTTTAGCTGGTTCTCTTGCAACCCGATCATGATGAGCACATCTGGCGTCATGCATGATCCAGCAGGACTGCAAAATATGCACCAAACTCTCCGGTTGGCCACAGTTTCCACGACATAAGATCGTCTGGCCACCATGACCATGCCAAGCGTTTGTAAATCTTGGCCTGAGAAGATTGCATCGGAACTGGATAAATATCCCGGATGAATATCCCAGGAAACACTCGTTCTGGAAATACGAGCCATCGATTAGAAAGAGCCGAAGCGAACAACTGTTGTAAACCACGACCGTCAACGCTGTTGTGAGACCCCAATTAGCCACAAGCATCGTGAACTCGGATCGGAGGGCTGAGATCCTAAACAATCTTACCAAATGCGGAATCGTTGACCACATTGCGTCGTACTCAGCGTTGAATAGAAAGAGTTTTCCATATATACTCTCTGCTGCATCGGGATTGTTGCACTCAGACTTGGGTATGGAATTAGCTGATCAGGGTGTCCTTCGGTAGACGTATCCAGCCACGAATAGATTGCCTGATGTAGTTTGTCCAATCTTTTGAGCGTGTTCCGGTGGACTTGGCATAGCACTAGCGAATATGTCAGCCTCAGTATCAGGGAATTCCTCGTAACCTCCATTCTTTGATGTGGATTCAATGGGGCACGCGTCACTTCTTCGAGCAGTTTGAGCATGTGCTGTCGGTGGTTGATAACCATTTTCCCCTTGAATCTTAAGTGGATGCCCAAATATGTTACGGTGTCTGTCGGACCCAGAGGAGTGATGAGTTCTTAGGTGAAGCAAAATGGTTCGACTAAGACTGCTGTTGCCCGATGTTCCCCGTCCCCACAAATAACCATCACTTTCGTCTTCCGGGCGTTTATTTTCATGCCAGCTCTTCCCAACTCGACCACAGTAGCTTCAAGCTTCTCTTTAAGGCATGTCTGACTTTCTGCACACACGACCCAGTCGTCAGCAAAGGTGAACCATCTACTAAGGTGTCATGGAACTGGTATCCCAGTTGCGGCATCGAAAATCCAAGAACCTCATCCATTGCCATAATGAATAATGATGGAGAGAGTGGATCCCCTCGCCTCACACCTCCGTGTCAGTGAACTTCGGAACTGGGGAAAACTGCTACGGCATTCTCATAGGACTGTGCGATGTATCGAACTAGAGGTGATGGTGCTTCAAACGCCTCAGCTGATCTGACGATTGTGTCATGCGAAACCGAATCAAACGCTTTCGAGATATTAACAAACGCCAGGCTGAGGTTAGAAGCAGTCGCTGAAGAGTGACGAGGCAGGGCATGCAACAGCGATGTGGCTTCCAAACAGCCGTCTTGATGCAGAAATGCAAACTAGAGTGACGGCAGTTGCAATCTACGACTCAAGCGATCAACAAACACCTTATGGAAGCAACAAACAAGAGTGGATGACACGGAGATCGGTCTCAGGTGATCTGGTGAAGTTGGATTTGGGACCTTCGGAACTAGAGTAATAAGGGCTCGACACAGATGTGAGGGTCAACCCCCAGGCAATAAGTGTAAGTAGAAAGGCCAGAGAGCACGTTAGCATTGAACCGGCGTGAGCTTATCCAGGCTTGGGAACTAATTGCCTATAACCTGGATCGTACGACCGTCTTCCTCTCCTGTAATTGGCTCGATCAAGCTCCATTCGGTTGGTAGTACTCCGTGACTTGGCCGGCTATCCGCATGTTTTGGGGCTAAGAGCACCTGTTTGCAATACTGTTCGGCGTCCGGCGGTAGGCCGCAGTTACCTTTGACCCACAGAATACAACAGACGCTGCATCTCACCGTCTTTGGTGGTATAGCGTCTGGTTGGCGGCGCAGTTAGTTAGGCGGATCTGCTTTCGGTTGACTGGTATCCGATTGGCTAGCTGACGACGGCGTCGGGAACTGGCGAGCTTATGCAGGACGGTCATAGATATGCCAAGTTGACAGGTGACGCTGTGTGGTATACGTAGAATCCAAACCCGACTAAAGCTAACAGAATCCCTCTCCCCTGTACAACTAACGTAACACTAGCTGATCCACACAGACGGACGAAAGGCGCAGATGACCTTCAAGAGAGCTACTCTCATGAACCGAACTGGAAGAACTAGACCCAAATCCATGTAAGTTTCCCATCAACTTAACACTTGGTGACCCACCCTAACACATAAAATCTCTTGGCTGACACCTAATCGATATTTAGCTTTACTTAGCTGATTGGTTTTCCTCTCGCCTTAAATCTCGACCAACCTCGTGTCCTAGCAATTCAGCCTGACGAAGCTTTTGTGTCAAATGCAAAACGTTGCTCAGCCATTAATCTATCGATTTTTTCCAAATTTTTTCGAAAACCCAGGCCTGAAGGTTGGCTCCTCTTTGTGCAAAAAACTGTTTCGAAATCAATATGTGATTAGTAAAACCGAGTACTGTCTGTTTCTCAATAGAAAAGAATAATCAAGACAGAAACACCAGCAAATTGCCGGAGAGGTTCTTCTTGATTGTACTGCACTATATTACTATATTATTATATATATATTGTACAACATGGCTCTCAGCACACTTTCATATTCCGATTGTGCTGGATAGTGACACCGTTTGCTGGTGAGTACTTACCGTTTTTCTGTACCTGCACTCATCTTGGAGTACTGAGTTCATTTATGTATTTTTTAAAATTTTCTTCCAGCTTTCTAAAATGGCCAAGTTGTAGTTCCGTCAGATTTGTTTGTTCCCTGAGTACCCTTCTGGTTTTCTTCACGAAATTTGTCCAACGTCACCACTCTCGGTTTCTGGTTACTCATGAGCAGTATGCTACGTATGCTAATTTGAAGGGCTTCTGCTGAAGACGTTTGTCCACTTGGCCATTATGTGGAGAAAAGTGAGTGTATTGCAAACAACGGGACAATATTGAAAAGTCTTCCTATGACAGCCATTATTGTGACAAATCTTTACGAAAAACTGTGGATGCTGGTACCCTCGGTCGGGTTAGTGTGAAAACGTGTGCATGGGCAGCGAAATGGTGTATTTTGAAGCAGCTGAAACCCCACAGGTAATAAAACTGCTAAATTGGGGAAATCTATCCTGCTAATTCAATGGGATCCTGACGTCCGGACGTCCGATGAACTCTCACAACAAACAGCGCGTTGCATCTGCGAGTTCCTGTCCCTGTGTCATTCACGTGGCTGTGATCCAATAACTGCCCTTCCGCATTGACGCCATCAAGTGCCATTCTAAGCCATTGTTTAGCCAGTCACTGGTGCAGCGAATATATGTCATAATTGGTGGACAAAGTGGACGAAACTGTTTTCTGACTGTATATCGATTCTTTATTAGGCCAGCGAGCTCGTCAACTCGCTACTGCTGGATGTTTGCTCATTCTGGAGCTGGTGGCTCAAATATTTGGATGGGAAATAAAGGCCAAGATTTTAGCCAACTTCTTTGACAACACCCATGAAGTTGGAACTTGGAGAAGGTGATAAAAGTTGACTGGGGCTTAAAACAATGAAGCCTTTCATAACGGGTGGCATGCTGCTATTGGTGGTCATGTGACAACGAAGCGCAGATCACTTTCAACAGTACAGTTAAATCTGATCATCGTGACCCAGATGCTTTTAGTTTTGACGGATATCAGGGGCTTCTTTCAGTTGAACATGCACTTCACGAGGGCGAAGGGCTGACGGGCATAATGATGGGTCAAAATCTAACTGTCAACGTAATAACGCCTTACGTGACGATTGCGTGGCTACACATTGCCCCCCATGTGTTTTTTTTCAGAGGTCGTGTGCTACTAGCCATGGTGGATGGATACGAGACGCTGGAACCTTTTGCCGAAGACTGCTGAAATAAAAGCGCTAAAGAACAAATCTTTGTTGACTGGTTTTAGCTGGCCTACAAATATTAAAATTCGCCTTTTTACGAACAAAAAACGGTACAGGAGGTCTGGCAAAGTCGACAGATCAAAAGTTTGCGTGAACTCTATTTGCTATGACTGGATTCCAAGCGCCACCAAGTGTATCTATTCTCGAGTTTGGAGCACTATTGTGTCTAGTATTTTTTTGGAGCACAGTTTAATTTATACTAAAAATGACCGAATTTTTACTCACAGGATTGTAGCATGTCAAGGACGGGCTTTCAGACATGGCTTCCAGAGGTTTGTGGAGCAGCCAATCAAAGTCTTGAAACAGATGATTTACTCCAGAAAAATGTAATTTGACGGGTTAAAATCTGCTTTATATATCCTGGCGAAAAAAATAATGTAAGTTTCCAACGCTTCAACACTCGAAATCCTTCTAGAAGACAGACGAATATCTGCAACGTTATTAGGATAAATTTTGGTTCAATCTATGGGAGCTGTAGAGTGGAGAAGAAAAAAGTGAACGAAATCGGTCCTGTGCTTTGAATGTTTTCCTTGACTTTAATGAGTAGTGTGTTCCGTCAGAAAACTACATCGTACCAACTATATCGTACCAACTATATCGTACCAACTATATCGTACCAACTATATCGTACCAACTATATCGTACCAACTATATCGTACCAACTATATCGTACCAACTATATCGTACCAACTATATCGTACCAACTATATCGTACCAACTATATCGTACCAACTATATCGTACCAACTATATCGTACCAACTATATCGTACCAACTATATCGTACAAACTGAGAGCTGAGACGGTCTTCGTGCAGCAGAATTCATTTGGAGAATTCTATAAACCACGATTCAGGTAAGTTTCCCGGTGAAATAATGCGGAAATGAGTGTACCTGACGAACTTCGTACAACCTAGTTCAAGTATAACATGAGGTTGATGGAGACTCAGGGACTGAGCTTACTTGATGAGGCCTCAGAGGAAGGGCGAACCCCCGGGCGGGCACTCACCAATCTTATGAGCAGTGTATTTCGTCTTGACAAATTTGTTCAACGAAATCGATTGATGAATGATCGAAAATGAATAGAAGTTCCTAGTTGTCCTGAGGAACTGAACCAGTTTGTAATGCACTACCCATAATGTTGCTGAAAATTCGCCGACAGCAAACGACCGGTTTCGCTGTTTTCGGGGCTCATCAGGTAGGCGCAGGCTACGAGCTTCCGTCAACCTTATGTTCAACTTCAACCCAAATTGCGCTAAGGCAGCATATATACACTTATTTGCAAACTAATCTGGTTTTTTGAGAGACTCACCTGAAACCCAGCTGAATCTCCCGTTTGCACGCACATGCGGTTCGAGCCAAGACGCATGCGCCACCAACTGAAATCAATGCGTCCTGTGCATACCTAGGAGGGAATCCTAGAGTTATATACAAACGGTGGCCCGTATTTATCAAGTCAGATGGAGACGGCCAGACAGTTGTGACCCACAGTGCACGTGATCGGTTGTGGCCGGCGTTCTTCATAGGATGATATATAGGCAGCTGGTGCTGGCCGCGACTCAACTCAGTCTGCATAACAAAAGTTAGGGGTCTCAGACTCCCGAACGACGAATTATAAGGGTTTAGATATGTAGACAAAAAAGAAATAGTGTTCCAAACTAGGAAAACAAGGAGGCAATGTGAAAATCCAAGGTGAACATTGCAAGGTATCCACTGTTGAACAGGCTCCATCGAACATTGGGATAACACAGCTTGTGGTAGACAAACCAGTTCTGTCGAGAAAAAAAGTAATCATGTAAAGTTGTCCTGTCATATGTTTGGTTTATTTTCTCTTGTGTTACTCATCATCATCACCTTCAACAGCATGACAACAGTCCCACTTCAAGGGCTAGTCACCACTCTGCTTCCACCACTCTGAACTCTTGTGCTACGGGAAGCTGATATTCGGCTTTGTGGAAAATTTTCACCTAAGATCTTCCGAACAAGTGCATTCGCAAATTACACCAGTGTTAGCGAGGAACTCATTTGCAGTTAGCGACAAAGTAGGCGGCAGGTTACGACATCCTACGTAGTAACATTCGCATCTATTAGATCGGACCAAGCACATGTGCGAAAAGTTAAGCCCCGCCACTTTTTGCCAGTTCCAATTTAATGTAGGCACATAACCCTCACCTATTTTTGATGTGGACAATTTCTTATCTGCATCTAGGCTCATTTTGTGCAAAACCATTATCTCCGTTCGGACGTAAAACCTCGAATGAACTTTCTGACAAATTCAACTCTCGTTCATGACAAGGAGACGGCAATGTGTCTTTTTCAAGGCCACTGAATGAACGTTTATGCAACAGTCGCCACCTGATGACACTGTCAAGTGTCTCTGACAGGTAGAGGTGTAATGCCCGACAGTGTCAGTGTCGGTCTCCGAAAGGGAACTTGGCTGTAGCTGTCAAGGATAGAGTTTAGGACAGCAATTCTATTCATTTATTGCTGGTCCAAACATTTGGCGAAAATCAAATTCTGATCAGAGTAGTGATCTATTAGCCACACGATCGCTGTTCTTTGGAAGAATTTCCTTCGCGAAGTTTGCGCCTGGTGGCTTGTGCAGACACCAACAGTTATCGGTGGCCCAGGTCTACACGTCGAGATCGATGAAACGCTAGCATCAAGCCGTAAAAACCACACAGGGTGAGTCCCTCCCAGCAGTGGATCTTCCGAGGGATCAATTGGGAAGCTAAGGAGGTGTTCATGTGTGAAGTGCCAGATCGAACTGCGGCCACTTTGATGGACACAATCCAGGCCTGCATCGCTCCCGGCTCAATCACCTTCTCCGATGTGTGGACATCATACCAAGGAATTGAAACGACGATTGGCATGAATCATAGTCATGAAACGGTTAATCACACCGAAAACTTTGTGGAGCTCACACAAACCGCTGAATCTCTTTGGCAAGTCTACAAAATGCAGAATAAACGTCAATGCGGCATACACGGATCTCTAGTGAACAGCTACCTGTGTGAGTTCGTTTGGAGGCAAAGGTACCGGAAAACGGACCTTTTCATGCAAATTATTAATGACATGTCTCAATTTCACCCTCTTCAATAAAAACTAATAGTACAAATTTCATATCCTCTCTTTTCTAGTCTTTTTTGGGTGGTGGGGGCTAATACTTTGGCGGAGCTTATCTGGAAAAGCTCCTTCGATTGGTCTCGTGGATGTTTTCTGCAAAAAAGAGTCCAGACTAAAGCTCATTCAAAACCAGGTGCGTCCTTGCTATCACCATAATCCTACTGGATTCTTGTGACCGCTTATCACTGATCTCTGACAAAAGGGCAGAGTTGACTCCGTTTGTTTCATTTCATTTAAAGTAAACAATCCGACCGGGTCATCAAATTCCGGCAGCCGACTTTTCCAAGTATCGGCTGTCAGCATCTGGGAGTAAGAACGGATTTGTGCTGTACCAGTTCAAACAAAGTGTAAATATCTTGCATCCGGCGCTTCCGCACAAAGAAAGTGACATGTATTCAGCATGAAAAGTTAACATTACTCTTGATATGAAGGGCGAATGGTATGCTCCATGGTACAAGCGGAATCAATTCCGCTCACGTTCCAGAAAAAGATGACCAAAAGAGAATACCGCAACAGGAGATCTAAAATTTTTGTTTTTCTGTCAAGGCAAGAGGTATTTTCACGCGGTTCATTCAAATCTAGTTTTTATCCAGGCAAAATTTGAAAAACCACTGTTGCGGAACTGGCGTTATTTTGTCGGACGTAGTTAATCGCTTAGATGGGTTTCCTCAAACAAAGTCCACGGTCACGCTGTACACTGTTTTTTTTAATCTTTCGTTTGGCTGTTCGCTGACAATCCATGGAAGCCTTCTAAACGGATGATAAATTATTGATCCACATGTTACGGAAATATACTCACAGTACTTCCTTTCCCCCGGTCAAACTCTTTCCTTGTCTGAGCCTGCTGTTTACTGCGTCTATCTCATAGACTTGATATGATGCATTTGTAATCTCTCATGAACTTTTAACCCTTGACTTGTCGAACCAGTTTGGTCAGCCATTCTTTATGCGCGCTTTTTGACCATTTTGTGTTACCACGTGTTGTACTCAGACGTATGTGGCAAACTAAGATCGATTTGTAATCTTATTCGGGCTTTCTTTGGACTTGCACTACTTTGTGCAACGGTTTAGACGGGAACCCCCATAATTTGAGGTTTGTACCCGTTTTATTGCGTATTTTATAAATGTAGTAACGTATCTTTTGATAAATCTCAAGAATCCACAATTCCTGGCTTGTGATTTTGCGCGTCACTCAGTGAGCTTTCCTGAATACGTCGAAGTATTCTACACTCATGTTTTTAAAAGCGTCATGTACGAGAGATTCAGCTGGGTTTCAGGTCCAATGGCCAAATTGGCTTGCAAATGAGTGTAGTTCGCTAAGTTCGTGCAATTTGGGTCCAAGTAGAACATAAGTTGGACGGAAACTCGGGCCTACTTGCGCCTACTTGATGGGCCCCAAGAGGGGCAGAAACTCGGGCCTAGTTGCGCCTACTTGACGGGCCCCAAGAGGGGCAAAACCGATCGTGGGCTGTCGAAGTAGTCTCAGCAACCTAATCAGTAGAGTATTACGTCGATTCAAATGTTAGTTTGTTACCCGTCCTCTTCTGGACTGGAAACTGGTTGTGGTGTGAAACACATTTATGTGTTTTCTTTTGCTGCTAACCGGTGAACACCCGCTGACCATGTTTACTTCGAAATTCATTGCTGAAACATACAACAGATGTTCCCAAGGAGAATAAACTCCCGCTGAACCGGGCTCGCTTTTCCCCTCCGAGGAAATGGGCCCCCATTCAGCGTCGATGAATGCATGATACTGGATGGCTAAGCGCCGGCAAAACAAGAGATCGGCTAAACTATGTTTCGTTCCCAAAGGCTAGACAGGCACTACCTGGCCGGTTGTCCTCAATATGGCTTTACGCATCTGCACCAGCTGTTGTATTCTCAAGTGAAGTTTGCTCAAGCAACGGGGCTAAGTGAAAGCTAATCACTGTCGAACGGTCAAGTGTTCGAACAATGACCGAAAGATCGCGGGTTCAAACCTCTGTTTCGGAGTTTCGGGAGAGGAAACAGCTGCAAAGTGCTTCTCGGCTATTTAACGCAGATTTGCTTCACTGACAGGACGAAACATCAATTACTATTCACTGTCAAACTTTCTGGTAAAGGAGGTTGCCATGTGAACACGCTGAAAAAGTCCTCATAACAGAAGCAGAAGTAGAAATTACAACTCAATTTGATTTTCAAGGGAGACTCAGCCGAATCTCTCGTTTATGGTATTTTGCAACTGAATGCGCTGCACAAAAGCCGCCTCATGTTTCAGTTGGTACGATATTCGAGATATCGCAGTCTAATTTCAGTAGACTTATAAGTAGTTTCATTTATGAGAAGCGTCTTACGGATAAATTGAACGAATGCTTGAAAGGAAAGACGAGGAAGTAAATATGCAAGGATTTGATCCTTGATGTTCGCAAGAAAAACCCGCATAACAAACTGGAAAGCGTTATCAGCAGAGTTTGGAGTAATGAAGTGAACTTTTTATCAATGTTATTCGGTCAGGAATATTACTCCCCGACATGGGAGGTGGCTGTAAAAACTTTTGGTAATCCACGGCCGAATTCGCCCTTCTTCGGACTTAGCAATTGGATACAAATGCGTATTTTTATGAATTGCAAGGAACTCGCCAAAAACGCATCTGAACACCAAGTTGGTTTCAACGGAAGGCTGTGAAACTTAATACCAGCTTAAATGAATGTGCACCACAAAGCCACCCCATGTTGCATTAGGCGTGACATGCAAGATATTGCAGTACACCGACTAGATACAACATACTACTAATAAAGTGCTCGAAAATCAACCGACGGACCACGCTAGTCTGCTAGACAAAGTCTCTGCGTTCCCCCAGCCTCATGTTCTACTTGAACCTTAATCGCATGAAATTCGACAGGTATACTCATTCGCATATCGAGCCGGTTTTCAAGGAAACTCACCTGAAACCCAAAGGAATCTCTCGCTTGTGATATTCTTCAACTAAATTTGCTGCAGAGAGACCGCCTCATGTTTCAGTCGGAACAGTAATCGCGATATCGCACTGTGAGCATCAATCACAGTGTGTTTCAAGTCACTTTGTACAGATTTTTCGACGGTTGCCACTTTGACAATTAGTTGATGGGCTAATTTCATCCTCATATCCATCGCCAAATCTGGACGGCAGTTGAAATATTTGAGGAGTAAATGAACTGGGTAACGCATAAGGTTGGTTGAAACTCGAGGGATCCGCCTTCCTGGTGAGCCTGAATTGTACGGGTGAATCCAGTCGTGGGTTATCGAACGATTTGCAGTTAC